CCTGCAGCGTTACCTGGTTCCTAGTCGTATTTTTCAGCATTCATTCGGTCCATACTTGGGTTCATCCTCTTCAGTACATCGTACTGTATTGTTAATACTGGCATTTACTACAAGTTTGTAAGGCCACTTCGTCAGGAAGAACGTGAATTATTGGAAAGGGAACTCATAGAAGCTGATCGAGCAGGATTTGCGGTGAATCTAAAGTAAGTTCCATTCCTCTTTTAAATAATTCGACGTGTTTTCCTTTGAACCGGCCCTATTTGCATCTTTTATTGATGTTGCAATCCATCCTAGGAATATCACAAATATGATTTCAAAGATGAATCACCCAAGTAATTCGTTAATTTCACCTTGACCTTTTCTACTTGGCTTACAAATAGTGATGCTTCAGCCGAAGAGTGCTTCAGAGTAGAGATTTGAATCCCATATTGTCGTTATCAGTAAGTGCGGTCTATCTGTTGCAGAGAGAAAACGTCTGTATTTTTGACATAATAGTAACTTTCACTTGACAATCCTTTGTTCGCTGGTTTCTCGATCTCGTTGAAATGAACAACGATAAATAGCGAGTTGAGCTGAGAAAGTACCTTATAGATCATTACAAATTAACCTCTCCGTGTTCAATTAAGTTTTTGTACTCTGCTACTGCCCACCCATGACCTTCATTCAGGCCTTTCTGAGTCAATTTATCTCTACATTTTGCAGATGATTGGTTCTCGTTTAATAAGCACGCTGACTTCAAGATGGGAAGGTGTGTTTCTTATGGGTGTCGTCGCTGGTGCAGGCTTCGAACTTTTCAAGATCTATTTTTCTTTCAGAGGTATGAGCATTTGAAGTTGTAACTTTTTTCTGGCACTTTCATCTTCTATTAGTACACGAACACTTTATTCTTGTGAGCCTTTTCTTAGGAAAAAAAACTATGAATTTTTTTTTTGTAGTACTAAGAAGTCGAAGTTTGTAGTTCTTCTTGGTTTAATCGGGCGAATAATCATAATTTTTACTGCTTACTGTGTGCGTGATCCTAGAACACGTCAGCTGAATAAAATCTGTGTAGAAGCACGGGAAAAGTTCTTCCTTGTTTTGTTTCAAAAGTGAAACTGTTTTTGATTCTTTTGAGTGGGTTCCTGTTTCCATTTAGATTGATACAATGCAAAGAGTGTGTTGAGAATTTATTCCGATAAGAGACTTCTTTTTATGATACATGTATTTTATATTGCATCCACTTGCCTAGATTCATATTTACTTTTTTTTTGTTCTTAACAAAAAGGGGGAAGGCAAATTAACCAAGAGTAACCTATGATATATAACTACCCTTTCTACGTGACAATACAGTTTAAATGCAGTATCTCAGAAGATTACTTTTATATAATGTTGTTCTGGGGTACCCAAAAGTGGGAATACACGATAAATTTACGCAACCATTGCGCAACAACGGATGCCTCAGTGATCTCGCAAAATATTCAGCTAAAGGCTTTGCGGACACCTCCCAGAAAAAAGACATACAATCAATTAAAGAGAGGAATGTATTCAAAGTGGCTATTCAAAAAAGAATGTATACTGGTAGATACAGCTAATGATTTAAATCTGCCTTCTACGTAGCGAAGGAGAAGCGACAATCTGTGAAGCGTTTCTGGGGACGTGTGAAAGTTTAATTGTGCCGAAATTGGCATTTATTGATGCTCCTGGACTAACTTATCGGCTGTCATTTGTCTCCTTTTTATTGAATTGAAAGGTCCCTCTTTGAACTGCTCTTCCTTTTTAGAATGTAGTGGCCTGAATTGTTTTAGAATACCATTGTTTTTTTTATTTCAGGTGTAAACTACTACTCGGTATTCAAAAAGAAGCAACTACAAAAGGAACTTGATGACTTTGAAAAAACGCTCAAGGATCTTGATGATCTGATCACT